ACCCCAGCATTGGCGATATCTCCAGTTGCCAGGGTTACCATCTCCTCTGGGGCCACAGTCACGATGTTTGACCTCTCCTCATCCACCTCGCCCTCCTCCCGTTCCGCCATCTTCATGCCGGCCTTCCCTTTGTGGACGGTCTTCACGTGGGATCGGAGGTTGTCCACGCGGTTGAAGCCCCGCCCACACTTGTCGCAGAGATACGGTTTCTCTCCTGCACAAATGTTACATCATCAGCGCACAAAGTATACCGCCCAATCAAATCGTTCCATTGTCAGCACACATTGCCATGGCCCCGCCCACACGAAGCGCTGCGCCCATCCGCTCACCCGTGTGGATGATGACGTGTTTGGTCAGGTCGCCCACATTGACGAAGGCCTTGTTACAGACGCTACACTTGTGCGGCCGGATGTTGTCGTGGTGACGGATGTGATTGGCCAACTGACTGGACTGAACGAACCTGAGAGAAGAAATATTGTTAAAGGAACAGTCAGAGGAAGTCGGCACGGGGTCACCCCGAGTACCTGCCTCTGCCGGGGGTCACCCCGAGTACCTGCCTCTGCCGGGGGTCACCCCGAGCACCTGCCTCTGCCTGGGGTCACCCCGAGAGAACCTGCTGCCGGGGGGTCACCCCGAGAACCTGCCTCTTCCTGGGGGTCACCCCGAGCGCCCGCCTCTTCCTGGGGTCACCCCGAGCGCCCGCCTCTTCCTGGGGTCACCCCGAGCGCCCGCCTCTTGCCGGGGGTCGCCCCGAGCGCCGCCCTCTGTCACCCCGAGGGGGTCACCCCGAGCGCCCCGCCTCTGCCGGGGGTCACCCCGAGCGCCCGCCTCTGCCTGGGGGTCACCCCGAGCGCCCGCCTCTGCCGGGGGTCACCCCGAGTGCCCGCCTCTGCCGGGGGTCACCCCGAGTGCCCGCCTCTGCCGGGGGTCACCCCGAGTACCCGCCTCTGCCGGGGGTCACCCCGAGTACCCGCCTCTGCCGGGGGTCACCCCGAGCGCCCGCCTCTGCCGGGGGTCACCCCGAGCGCCCGCCTCTGCCGGGGGTCACCCCGAGCGCCCGCCTCTGCCGGGGGTCACCCCGAGCGCCCGCCTCTGCCGGGGGTCACTCCGAGCGCCCGCCTCTTCCTGGGGGTCACCCCGAGTACCTGCCTCTGCTGGGGGTCACCCCGAGTACCTGCCTCTATATGGGGGTCACCCCGAGTACCTGCCTCTATATGGGGGTCACCCCGAGTACCTGCCTCTATATGGGGGTCACCCCGAGTACCTGCCTCTATATGGGGGTCACCCCGAGTACCTGCCTCTTCCTGGGGGTCACCCCGAGTACCTGCCTCTGCCGGGGGTCACTCCGAGTACCTGCCTCTATATGGGGGTCACCCCAAGCACTCACCTCTTACCGCAGCGCTCACAGACATACGGCTTCTCTCCCGTGTGCTGCCGGACATGAGCGATGAGTGAGCTGGCCTGTGTGAACGCCTTCCCACAAATCACACACAGACACGGCTTCTCTCCTGTAATGCAGAATACGGGGCGGTCAGGAGGGCAGAAAATACGGCACACAGATCGTACCATAGGCAGGAGAGAATACAGGACCAGCAGGAAGGGCAGTATACAAGGGCAGGGAGGGTGGTATACAGGGCAGGATACAAGGGCAGGGAGGTACCAGGGGGAGGGCGGTATACAGGGCAGGGAGGGGTATACAGGGAGGGCGGTATACAGGGCAGGGAGGGCAGTATACAGGGCAGGGAGGGCAGTATACAGGGCAGGATACAAGGCAGCGGTCAGGGTAGTATACACTGGGCAGGGAGGGTGGTATACAGGGCAGGAGGGTGGTATACAGGGCAGGATACAAGGGCGGTATTATAAGCAGGGTGGTATACAAGGCAGGGAGTATACATGGGGAGGGGTAGTATACAGGGCAGGATACAAGGCAGCGAGTCAGGGTAGTATACAGGGAGGATATAGTATACAGGGCAGCAGGGCGGTATACAGGGCAGGCTGGGAGGCAGGGCAGGGAGGGTGGTATACAGGGCAGAGAGGGCGGTATACTTGGCAGGGAGGGTGGTAGACAGGGCAGGGAGGGTGGTATACAGGGCGGTAGACAGGGCAGGGTGGAGGGCGGTATACAGGGCAGGGAGGGCGGTATAACAGGGCAGGATACAAGGGCAAGCGAGTCAGGGTAGTATACAGGGCTGGGCAGGGAGGGCGGCATACAGGGCAGGGAGGGCGGCATACAGGGCAGAGGGCGGCATACAGGGCAGGAGAGGGCGGTCAGGGTAGTATACAGTTAGTATACTGGGCAGGGGGAACAGGGGAGCAGGGAGGGCGGCATACAGGGCAGGGAGGGCGGCAATACAGGGCAGGGAGGGCGGTGATTACAGGGCGGCATACAGGGCAGGGAGGGCGGCATACAGGGCAGGGAGGGCGGCATACAGGGCAGGGAGGGCGGCATACAGGGCAGGGAGGGGCGGCATACAGGGGGCAGGGAGGAGCGGCATACAGGGCAGGGAGGGCGGCATACAGGGCAGGGAGGGCGGTATACAGGGCAGAGAGGGGCGGCATACAGGGCAGGCAGGGCGGTATATAGTACAGGTTAGGAGTATCCAGGTCAGGTATACAAGTCAGGCTATTACCGGTGTGAGTTCGGACGTGTCAGGGCTGTAGGGCTCCAGGGCAGGTCAGCAAACTTATCCTCTTGCAATGGACGCAGGCACATAAGGTTTCTCCCCACTGTGAATGCGGTATACAAGGCAGATGTCTCTTCAGGTTTCCTGCAGGACGGACAGTCAAGGGCGGTATACAGGGTCAAGAGGGCGGTATAAGGTCAGGGAGGGCGGAGGGCAGAGGTGGGGGTACAGGGGTGGGAGGGCGTCAGAGGTGGAGGGCAGAGGGCAGAAGAGGGGCGGCATACAGGGCAGAGAGGGCGGCATACAGGGCAGGGGAGGGCGGCATACAGGGCAGGGAGGGCGGCATACAGGCAGGGAGGGCGGGGGCAGGGAGGGCGGCATACAGGGCAGGGGAGGGCAGTATACAGGGCAGGGAGGGCGGTATACAGGGCAGGGAGGGCGGGTATATAGTACAGGTTAGGAATCCAAGGTCAGTATATAGTCAGGCTATTACCGGTGTGAGTTCGGACGTGTCTCTGTAGAGCTCCGGGGTCAGCAAACTTCCTCTTGCAATGGACGCACACATAAGGTTTCTCCCCCACTGTGAATGCGCAGATGTCTCTCTTCAGGTTTCCTGCAGGACAGACAGTCAAGGAATAGGGTCAGAGGTGAAGGTCAGGGATGGAGGTCAGAGGTGGGGTCAGGGGTGAAGATCAGAGGTGGAAGTCAGAGATGAAAGTTAGGGGTGGAGGTCAGGGGTGGAGGTCAGAGGTGGAAGTCAGGGGTGGAGGTCAGAGGTGGAGGTCAGAGGTGAACGTCAGGGGTGGAGGTCAGGGGTGAAGGTCAGAGGTCAGGGGTGAGGTCAGGGGTGAACGGGTGGAGGAGGTCAGGGGTGAAGGTCAGGGGTGGAGGTCAGAGGTGAACGTCAGGGGTGGAGGTCAGAGGTGGAGGTCAGGGGTGAACGTCAGGGGTGGAGGTCAGGGGTGAAGGTCAGGGGTGGAGGTCAGAGGTGAACGTCAGGGTGGAGGTCAGAGGAACGTCAGGGGGTGGAGGTCAGAGGTGGAGGTCAGGGTTGGAGGTCAGAGGTGGAGGTCAGGGTTGGAGGTCAGAGGTTAAGGTCAGGGGTGGAGGTCAGAGGTGGAGGTCAGGGGTTAAAGTCATGTGGCATTTCTGGCTCTGTAGGAGAAATCGGAGGTCTGATCACCTGAGGTGGTGAACTGTTTCCCACACTCCCGGCATTTTAGAGGTCCGTCAGCGACGTGGATCTTCAGGTGAGCTTTCAGGTTCCCCAGCTGGACAAGAAGAAAAAGCAGAGCTGAGAAAACAGAAGAGGAGCCCCACATAGAGCCCCGGATAAGGCGGCACTGGCTCCACCCACCTGGTTGAACTTCTTGTCGCAGTGCGGGCACTTGTGCTCTTTGTTGGTGTCGTGGGGTCTCCAGGTGCCGCATCTTGGAGGTGGGGTCAGAGAAGGGGCGGTTGCAGTACTCGCATTGGTAGGGTTTTTCCCCGCTGTGGACCAGTTGGTGCCTCTTCAAGTTGCCGGACGTGGTGAACAGTTTCCCGCACACCTTGCAGTAGTAGCTGGGCTCCCCCGAGTGCCGCTTCTTGTGCAGATTCAGCAAACTCACCAGCCGGTAGCTTTTCCCGCAGTCGTCGCAGCCGTGAGGCTTCAAAAGGGCTGGACAGCAGAGAAGGATCGTTACCTAATATCACCCCCCCCCCCCCCCAGCCTGGGATCATGGTGGCAGGGAACAATATGGCCGACACTCACCTGTGCGTTTTCTCATGGGCTTTGCAGGCGGCGGGGTCAGAGAACGCTTTGTCGCACTCCTGGCAGCGGTAGGGCTTCTCGCCGGTGTGAATGCGGATGTGCCGGGTGTAGTTGCCCGTGTGGGTGAATTCTTTATTGCAGTACTGGCAGGAGAGAAGACAAAGTCACCAACTGACAGCAATATCTCAGGCCAGAGAGACACTACAGGAGGTCCTGTGGGACTACTACAGACTCTGCAGGTTGAGGCTACAATGGGGAGGTCACAGAACCTCTGTCAGGTATGATTGCTGTCGGTGTCCCCCGTTCCTCACCGACTTGGGGGCTCATCCGGGATGTGACGGGAGTCCCTTTGGAGAGGTGGGGAGACCCCTGTCTCAGCTCCCCATATCCCTCTTATGTGTAAGTCACCCTGTGCCTGCTAGGGGTACAGGGTGGAATGTCCTGCTAAAGGGGGCCCCCCACCCAAAGTGACTCCCGTCACACGGGACAACTGTCAAAGCCATCCTCACTATTCCCATCCTGGTCACATGACAGGAGACGGGGGACAGAGGCAGCAATAAACACCCGAAGAAAGGAAATGTCTAGGAAAGGACAGAAAGCACAATGATTCCTGCTGGCGCTCACCTCGCACACGTGTGTGGTGGAGCTGTACTGTCGGGACTCCGTCCGGTCAGCGTAGTTGGAGGTTCGCAGTTGCCGCGGCGTTGAGGACATCTCTTCATCGTCATTGTTGGAAGATTCATTCTCATCCGCGCTGTCATCATCATCCTCCTCCATGCCGGCCTCATTAATGGTCAGTCCAGATTCCTGGCTGCCCTCAAGGTAGGAGATGCTCATCTCTGGGCTGGTGTGCTCTGTGACAGGCTCCGCCGGAAGCTTCTCTTGCCCCTGTGGGATCTCCTGCTCTTTGGTTTGTGATTTGCACGCTGTTGACCCGTCGTTCTTCCCCTGGACAGGCCACGCCTCCTGCGTCATCAAATCACCAATTCCGACATTTGCTTGCCTGTTATCGACTCCTACAAATAAATGTGAGTTATGGCAGGGCGGGGCCTCACCTCATTATACACATCACCAGCCAATCACACGGGCCCAGACCACGGGATGTCTGACAACTGAAGGTGACATCTGAGTTGTCATCATTTGGTTCCCACAGTCATCGGTCTTCCATGTTTGGGGTGACTACGTTCACTTGTGGGGTCCCCGTGGAGCCACGCCACCCCTCTGCAGAGGCCACAGACATATGTCTGCTCCCCCCCCCCCGATTTTGATTGACAACTACGTTTTCCTTCATTTTTGCACACAATTACACAAAGATTGGCAATAAAGTTTATAGAAAAAAAAAAAACTCTTCTGGATCTCCATTGTCTGACTCTGGGGGAGGGGAGTCCAGAGAACGTCTCGGGAAATCAGCGTCTGTGCAGTACAATACACACAAGTGTCAATGGGACATGTAGTCCTGATGTAGTAATTGTGTGCGCCCCCTACCAGAAGTTCAGGGAAGCGCTGCAAGAGGAACAAATTGCCGGGGACATCTACAGGATATAAGAAACATTGAGAAATGGTGTATTCGGTACGATATGAAATCCATTCCCTCCAAAGACATGATGGGAAGATAACTGACTCCTCGTATGTGAGGGAGGGACCTTAGATTGTAGCTCCTTGGGGGCGGGGACTGAGGTGAATGTACAGAATGTAAAGCACTGTGTAAATTGTCAGCACTGTATAAACACCAGTAATAATAAATACATTGGAAGAGGACTCACCCCCTTCTGTAGACACCATGCCCTCCTCCTGGGGCACACGGGGTGCGGCCCCTTCCTCTGCCTGGGTGCCCTGACTGCCTCCAATGCCCCCTGCAGACAATAGGGAAGAGACATCATGATGGGGGAGGGGGGAGAGACTTATATCATTCCTCTATGTGGAAGCCACATGAAAGGGCCAGTCCCCCCTCCCCCAGGGGCAGATCTATATCCCAATGTGAGGCCCCCTGCTGGGGTGCAACACTCACCCTCCTCACTGGCTCCATCGCCCTCCGGATACACAGAGTGCCCCGCACCACTGGACTCCATGACAGTCTCTCCCCCCACACTTGGAGCGGGGTACTCCCCTTCCGGCTGCGGGACTTCTGCTGGAAAGATAGACAGACATTGTGTTATAGTCCGGCAATCACTGATACTGTACAAGAAGGAGCAGAGCCCTGCACCCAGCAATGGTCGCCCTTCCCTGTGGGTGATATTCGGATAGAGCCCTGCACCCAGCAATGGTCGCCCTTCCCTGTGGGTGATATTCGGATAGAGCCCTGCACCCAGCAATGGATTCGGATTCGGATATTGGAGCCCTGCACCCAGGAATGGCCGCCCTCCTCTGTGGGTGATATTCGGATGAATGGAGCCCTGCACCCAGGAATGGCCGCCCTCCTCTGTGGGTGATATTCGGCGGGGGTGGGGCATGAATGGAGCCACTGCAGCCAGGCCAATGGCCGCCCTCCTCTGTGTGGTGATATTCGGATGAATGCGAGCCCTGCACCCAGGAATGGCGCGCCCTCCCTCTGTGGTGATATTCGGATGATCATGGAGCCCTGCACCCAGGAATGAGCCGCCCTCCTCTGTGGGTGAATATTCGGATGAATGGAGACCCTGGCATCGTTCTTCAGGAATGGCCGCCCTCCTCTGCGTGGGGTGAGGGGGTTCGGATGAATGGCGAGCCTCCTGCACCCAGGAATGGCCGCCCTCGGACTGGTCCTGTGGGTGATATTCGGATGAATGGAGCCCTGCACCCAGAAAATGGCTGCGCCATCGAGCTCTGTGGGTAGCATATTCGGATGAATGGAGCCCTGCACAGCAGAGATGGCCGCCGTCCTCTGTGGTGTGATTTAGGCAAATGAATGGAGCCCTGCACCCAGTAAATCGGTTCCGACCCTCCTCTGTGGGTGACTATTCGGATGAACAGGAGCCCTGTACCAGGGGGAAAATGTCTGCAATCCATCCTCTGGGAGAGGTGGGCATATATGCGTAGGGGGGTGATTTTTCAGTGTTATCTGTGGGGTAGGAGGGGGTGTCAGACCAGGGTACTGGAGAATGATGAACTTCTGTTAGGGTGGAAATGTGCCAAGGGAGGGAATGGATATCCCTAGCACCCAGAGAGATGGCCGCCCTTATTGATGGATAGTATGGTTGGGATATGGGGATTAGGTGGAGCGTATTATGACATCATAGGAATGGCGCCTCCATGAACTCTGTGTGGCAGTGATCGATTCGAGAATGAATGGAGCTTCGTGCAGCCAGATTATATCGGTTGGCCGTACTCTAGTGGGTCTGATTACTTCGTGGGGTAGTGGAAAGCACTGCACCAGGAATGTACGGAGGGATCTGTGGTCTGATGTGTCTTGGATGAATGGATCCCTGCAATTGTAGATTAGGGGCCGACATGTGGTATGATGGATGATACAACTAGCAGCTGTATGGTGTTTTCACTGCCACAGCAGTGAGTAGATATATGCAAAGCCTCCTTGTGGTAGGAATGATATTCGAATTTAAGTGGAGACCTGCATATAGGAATGTGCCGCCTCCTCTGTAGGGACATAGGTAGTCGGGATGAATGGGCCATTAAGCACCCAGGACTCAAGGACCCGCCTCCTCTGTTGTATGTTGCAAATGTGTCGAAAGAAGAGGAGCCGTGGCCACCCAGGAATGGCCGCCCTCCTGGGTGAAGGGTAGGTAAATGTATTCGGATGAATGGAGCCTGCAACCCAGCGAATGGTAGCCCTCCTCTGTGGGATAAATAGGTTGGGATGAAATGATAAAAGTTTGCAAAGGAAAGGAAATGGCCGCCTCTCCTCTGTGGTTGTATTTTCGGGATAGAATTGGAGCTTTGCACCCAGGAATGGGCCGATCCTCCCTCCTCGTGGGTGATATTCCTTGGGATGAATGGATAAGGCCCTGCAGCCCAGGAATGGCACGCCCCTCCTCTTGTGGGTGATATTGGATGATGTATGGGTTGAACCCCAGGACTGGTGTCCGCCCTCCCTGTAGTGAGGATCGGATGATAGGGATGGGGCCCCCTGCACCCAGGAATGGCCGCCCTCCTCTGTGGGTGATATTCGGATGAATGGAGCCCTGCACCCAGGAATGGCCGCCCTCCTCTGTGGGTGATATTCGGAATGAATGGTAGCCCTGCACCCAGGAATGGCCGCCCTCCTCTGTGGGTGATATTCGGATGAATGGAGCCCTGCAGCCAGGAATGGCCGCCCTCCTCTGTGGGTGATATTCGGATGAATGGAGCCCTGCACCCAGGAATGGCCGCCCTCCTCTGTGGGTGATATTCGGATGAATGGAGCCCTGCACCCAGGAATGGCCGCCCTCCTCTGTGGGTGATATTCGGATGAATGGAGCCCTGCACCCAGGAATGGCCGCCTCCTCTGTGGGTGATATTCGATGATGGAATGGAATGGCCTGCACCCTCTGTGGATGATATTCGGATTAATGGAGCCCTGCCCCCAGGAATGGCCGCCCCTCCTCTGTGGGTGATATTCGGAATGAATGGAGCCCTGCACCCAGGAATGGCTGCCCTCCTCGCTCTGTGGGGATATTCGGATGAATGGAAGCCCTGCAGCCAGGAATGGCCGCCCTCCTCTGGTGGGTATATTCGGATGAATGGAGCCCTGCACCCAGGAATGGGCCGCCCTCAGCTCTGTGGGTAGTGATTCGGATGAATGAGCCCTGCACCCAGGAATGGCCGCCCTCCTCTGTGGTAAGTGATATTGGGGGGGGATGACGCGGGAGGAGCCCAAGTGACCATCACAGGAATGGCCGCCCTCCACTGTGGGTGATGGGCGGGGTTAATGTAGGGGGGTGGGACACATGAGGGTGCGCATGCACCACGGGATGGACTGCCCACCTCGGTGATAGGTCGATGAATGGAGCCCTGCACCCATGAATGGGCCCTCCTGCTGTGGGTGATATTCGGATGAATGGAGCCCTGCAGCCAGGAATGGCCGCCCTCCTCTGTGGGTGATATTCGGATGAATGGAGCCCTGCACCCAGGAATGGCCGCACCTGAACCTCTGTGGTCAGAATAGACCGGATGAAATGGAGGCTGACTCAGGAATGGCCGCCCTCCTCTGTGGAATAGATTCGGAATGAATGGGGCTTGT